AATACTATCAAAGCGCAAGTTTTAGGTACAATTTACGCGGCGCTGTTCTGAAAGCCAAACATTTAAGAAGTACAAAATCCCTCAATATTGCTTCCAACCTACTATACATTCAACAATTTCTTTGGTACGAAACACCATATTAAGCAGCTAGAAATGACCAATAAACGCAACTGTTAGGAAACTGTGAATGAATAAGAATATTCTCGATAAAATAGAACAAAATCACTTTCTGCAACGATGCACTTGAACAACAAGCGTTTCTAGCCCCCAGTCAAAATGAAGCAACGATCAACCACAGCACATCATAACCTCCAGCTGGGTCAAACGAGACCTTACTGCCAACCGTTTGGTTCCATACTACAACATAGTTAAGCAATAAAAGCAAACCTTGACCAGAGTCAAATGATAACCGTTTAGTAAAAAAGCTGAGAAACACGTTGTGTGGTCACACGTGTGCTATATGAGAGTTAACACGCAAAAAAGTGTGAAAGACCTAAAAATATAAATGCTATCAAGAGAGACACTCTGGAGAGATTTTCGGGTCATTCTTTCCATTACACTCGTTGCTTGATAGTTCAAAAGTTTATCTACCATAAAGAGATCCAATTGTTAACTCAGAATACGCGAACATGATGGTCTCGCTTAGTGGAAACACTGACAAAATGCAGATTCTTTTGACAACCCCTAAGGTGCACCGGACAATGCGTTTCTCGCGATGTCCGAATTGATGTATACCGCATTTCCACGAAGTGAGTCGGCCAGAGATTTCATAAGGGACACGCAGTTTGGTATGAACCATCTATTAAAGCTTACTATTGTGTTGAAGGTGCGTAATTGCTTGATTGTGGTCAGTTCTGGGTAATCCAGAATGGCTGTCACCTTACTTTCGGAGGTCGGATGCCTTCAGAATCAATATCGTGTCCGAGGAAATCCAGGTAGTCGAATCCGATATGACATTTCTGAATGATCACAGTAATGCCATGCTTTTGTAGTCGTTCGAAGACAATGTCCGGATGCTGGAGATCAGACTCTCTGTTCGGACTTTCAGTCACCAACATACGCATGTACGAAGTTGAGGTCTCGAAAGATGTCATCGATGAACCCTTGGAAGGTTTGTGCAGCATTTCTTAAGCCGAAATATATGCGCAAAAACTCATAAAGACGGAAAAGAGTGATGATAGCGGAATGTCGTCCGCAGCCGTGGGAAATTAGTTACATGCTTCAACCTAATCGATTTTCGAGAAAGTGGTTGTATCTTTCAAGGTAGCTGTCAAATTGTGAATCTGAGGCAATGGGCAATGATCAGGAAAGGTTTACGCATTCAATCGCCTATATTCATCAGTCGGATGCAGTCGTTGCTGTTCTTTATAAGGACCATATGCAAGGGTTATGCCCACGGGCTGTTTGATGGCCAAATGGTTCTTAAATCTATCATATGATCAAATTTATTGTTGATCAATCCCATCTTTTCGGGAGCTAGCCGGCGCGCATCCGAGAATACTGATGGTCCTGTAGTCGCGGTGTGATGTGTAACCTTTTTGGGTTACACATGGCGATTTCGGCCGAGTTGGGCATACCCCAGGGTAACTATCGAGTATTCACTGCTAGTATGGATCGATCGTGTGCTTTACTGTGACCAGGGATAATCTAATACAGGAAAAAGTTATTTCCGTCTACTAACCTACATTCGCGCTTGTCGATGGGTAAATTATGATGTTGTAGCAGGTCTGTACCAATGATTGGCATAGAAACATCTGAAAAAACAGAAATCCAATGTACGGGTTTTCGTAAACACATTTTAAGATAGATGTGCCGTTTACCATATATGGCGATAGGTTTTCCGTTTGCCACCTGTAAGTTTAGAACTGGTTGGTGCAGTAGGTCGATAAAATGGTTCAAATGGTTGTGGACGGAATAGAAGAAGCTTTCGCTTAACTGTCTTCCGTGTTTAGTGACAGAGGATCACCAATACCTGCAGACAAGAACCTAGGTATATTAACGATAAAAGAGAAAAAAAAAGAAATTGGTAAATCATAGTAAGATACTATCCTTAGTCCTTAAGAATAGATCAAGTCGCCTCTTAAAGGACCTCTAAGACGCCTATACTCTAATGGGTAAAGGTTGAATGATTGAAAGCGCTCATCGTAAGGTTTAAATTTGAGTCCCCAAACTGATTTCGTGGCTCGCCGTTGGATACGCTCCAAAGTGTCCTTATCCTTTTGGAGTGTAGGAGGGAATACTATGTTTCCGTACTCTAAATGGGGACGAATGAAACTATTGAAGATTATGTGGAAAGTTCTTCCGTCAAACTGACCAAAAATGCGATTTAATGGTACCAGTGCAAGGTTTGCTCGAAAGGCATTTCTGTCACAGTTGGCGTAAGACTTTAAGTCGTAGGGCTTCAAAACTCCTAAATCTTTTTCGACTCGGGATACTACTAGAGAGGAGTTTCTTAAGTTGTAACTGTAATCTACGACGTGTCGCAGATGGACTAATTTACACTTTGAAGTGTTAAAGGTGAGTCCGTTATCGTCTGTCAAACTTTGAAGTCGAGTCAGATCCTCCTGAATTGCCTGTATGTCCTCTTGGTTGCATATCTCTCTCCAAAGTTTCACGTCTGACGTTACCTGTTGAGGAAGATCATTTATATAAATAAGGAAGAGGAGAGGTCCTAGTACTGAGCCCTAAGGGACCCCACTAGGACATTCCATGGCCTTTGAGAAATTAAAGTTCGCCCTGACCTTAAAATGTCGATTTGTCAGATATAATCTGAGTCAGTCAATTAGAGGGGGTTTGATAACCAAATGTTTGAGCTTGTTAATAAGACAGATATGGTTAACCCTATCAAAAGCTTTAGAGAAATCAGTGTAAATGATGTCCACCTTCCCCTTGCGATCAACGATGCTTGTCCATCTGTCCACCGCGGTCAGCAGGTTCGTCATACAGGAGTAACCCTTCCCGAACCCATGCTGTCGGGGTGAGAAGAAATTTAAGGACAGCAGATAGTCGTGTACACCATCGTATACCAGAGACTACATGGTCTTTGAAGGTATAGAGAGAAGAGCCACCGGTCAGTAACTTGAAGGTTCGCTGCGTCGACCTCCTTTGAAGACTGGTGTGATATGAGCCAGCTTCAAAATATCCGGTAGTTTGCCTTGACTTAGCGAGTGTGAGAACATCACGCTAAGCGGTGTTGCCAGGATTGAAGTTGCTTCCCTCAGTATAGCAGAGTGGACCATAACTGGACCAGGAGAAGTGTCTTTTCTTAGGTTCTGTAGTTTTTGAAGCACCAAGTGAGCGCTCAGTTCCACTACGGTAAGTCCTGTGCAGTTGCAGATAAAGCCGTCATCAGTATAGTTTAAGTGAGTCGGTTGAAATGTCCGGGATTATCGCTCAGCCAGAAGGTTAGCGGCGTCACCGTCATTATCGGTCAGGCCGTTAGGACCTAGAAGTTGATATACTCCAGTTTTGGCTTGACGAAGAGAGGCTGCGTAACGGAATAAGCTTTTCGGGTTAGAAATAAATTTATCCATAAGCTTTAAATGGTACTGAAGCCTGTCTTCTCTTATAGCCTTCGTACATATGTTCCTTGTATGTTTGTATTGCCTGTACTCGCCGTTGTTGTCGGTTCGTTTGTATTCTGCCCAACAGTGCCTTTTGCGGCTTAACAAACGAAGAGTGCGGTTTTTGATGATTGTAGGTTGCATGTGGCTTTTCGGGACCGTTTGAGGGACTGACTGCTTTGTAGCACATAAGAGCGTGTGTAATAGGAAGTTCCAGTGAGCATCCACATCGAGTTGGGAGTGAACATCCCAATCCACCTGTTGTAGATAGTCCTGTAGAGCTGACGCATTCAACCGTTTGAAATTCAAGCGCCTGTTGTTGTTGGGATATCTTAGCTCAGTTTTGCTGACGAAACTGAAGGCTATAACGGCGTGATCACTTTTCCCCAGGGGAGCCAGAATTGAGAGGGTGTCGACTAGAAGTTCTTCATTTGTAAAAACACAGTCTAAGCGCGACTGTGTCTGACTGTTCCTCCAACGAGTTGCCGACTTCACATTTTCGTATGATCCCAAATCCTCAACGAGGTTGAAGAACCGAGCTTCAATTGAGTTTTCACCTCCAATATACGTATGTTCCGCGAATTTGACTCTAGGGAGATTGAAGTCCCCTAGAATCAGGATATGAGTGAAGCCGAGACACGTAGAGCGGGACAGTCCTTCCAGCATGCGACTGTCATATTCGATGTCGTCAGTGGGCTTCCTATATATGACTCCGACAAGGCACCTCGAAATAGTGGGCAATCTCATAGAGCACCATATAGATTCCTCAAGAATGTCAAACTCATGGTTGGGAACTTGGTGTACCTACAAGCCAGATCGTATGTATAGGGCTACTCCACCACCAATTCCTGTTTTTCTGTCATTGCGAAACAGAGACATCCCAGGTATTGCTAGCTCCTGATCCGAAAAGTGAGGAGATATCCAAGTTTCAGATATTCCTATCAAATGAATCTTATTAGCGATGCTAAGTTCACTTAGTTCATCCATTTTATTTGGTAGACTCGCGGCGTTCATGTATAAGTAGTTAATACTTTCATTTTGAAACGCGTGAGCTTCTTCCTGGTTGTCTGTGAGAGCCCTACGTGAGTGGACAGGTAACCCACCTATATGAGTTTTGTCGAATTGGTAAGTCGATAGAATTCGCTGGAAGAAATCTAACTTCCAAGCCAGTGTCTACGAGGCAGCGAACTTTTGTAAGCACATTAATGACGTATAACAGACGGTTGTGTTCGCCGGCTACGGTTGGCAATAAGACTGGGGAGTTTCCCGGATCGTTTCTCGTGTCGGTCGGTTTAAAGTTCGAAATATTGCACACCAATGGACGCCATCAACCACCTGAGACTCTGCTGAAGCAGTAATAAGTGAGCATAAATACATAAAGTGCCCTATAACATCATGTCCTAACGACATTGGAAGTCGTACAGCACTTGGCGGTATTTTAAACCTGAAATGATCGGTCGTCTTGTCGTAACGACACCCAATAAGCTGTTAAGTGGGTTTTCAAATCAATTAGTGATATTTTAACAGGCATTGGCCGGGTAAATCATATCAGAAACCATGTGCCCATGCGTTTTCCAGCGGGGACTTATGATGAACTACAAATTCCTCAAGGAAGCTGGGCTGAATTGCACAAACAGCAGAATAAACTTTATAATACATACCTTATAGTTAGCTCTACAATCGCTGCTGTTTTATTCGCTGCAGTAAGATTAATCTTATTTTTTAATCTTTTAGGCATTCTATGTCTCTGACATCAATAAGTATAAACTTCCGAAAATTTCCAACTCTGAAGAAGGTCTAAAATTCTTGAACCCTGACCCTAAAGCACTGCAATATATCTTAGAAAACTGAATCCCGGTAGATATTTGAACGTACTTAAATACATTTCACGTTTAGATTATTCTAGAGACATTTTCTCGTTCACTCGAGTTTGGCTTGTTTAGACATTCGATAATTCAGTGTAATGTTACGTTACATAGTATGCATATAATCCCAATTATGTATGCTCATGTATTTTGTATGCCTCAAGAATCAAGTTTACTGCAGAAATGTTAAGTCATTGTCAGTCAACAATTGGGATTTGTTTTGTAATCGCACTTGTGTGTTAATGGGACAATTATTTCTTTGGGTAAACTTTTCAGTGAATGACTTTGATGTCTCATGTGTTGCACTTATTTTAAATCTCTTGACAGTGATTTTAAAATATCGGTATTAGCAAACGAGTTCTGTAAAGCCATATCTCCCCCTCTAAATGCAAGTTGTTGCTACAGAACTGGACTGCGTCAACACCTGAACTAAGGATAGAGTGAATGGGTCGAATGCGTTGACAAATTCGCTCATCTCGAAAGTCTGATCAGACATAAGGGGCTGGTGTCTGACGAAATTTCAACATGGATTCGAAAAGCTCGTGTGGTTTTTGCCAACTTACGTTACCTATGGCAAAGGTGAGATATCCGTTTATCAATAAAAAGACAAGTATACTGCGCGATAGTTCGTTCCTTTCTACTGTACAGTTGCGCAACATAACCTTTAAGATTAGAAGATACTCGTAAGATACAAGTATTTGACCACAGATGCCTTAGAAATATTGCTCACATCTTCTGGGATCACCTGGTAAGTAACAGTGAGGTTAGACGAAGGTATTAGGGAATAATGTTAAGTCAGTTGACGGATTGTAAATCTTCATAGACTAAAATGGTTTGGCCACCTGCTACGTATGCCTGAACACTGATTACCATAAAGCGCCATGCTGACTAGTGTTGAAGACGGATGGAAGAAAGTAAGGAGCGGCCAAACCAAAACGTGGCATCAGTGCTTAAAGTCACTAACTTCTGGTCTGAGCCATGTTGGTAGATGCAGACTACCTGGTTGGGGTCCATGTGACTGTCATAACCAGTGATTGGAGCCTGAGTACCATGACTCTGAATCGATCACACTCTTTGTCTTCCTTTAAACCATGAGATTAGAATATATACTTTTTATTCTCCCTGTATTACATACTTATATGAAATCTTTCTTTGATATTTTACTATCATTGAATTAACTGTCTCTATGGATTTGGTGATCATCTTGTGCTAATGACCTGTGGCAACTTGGACCGATACATATATGTGCCTGGTTCATACGTTGTAGCAGACTAACTCCTAAACGTTTCTTTTGTTTTAGTTCTCTAACCTTTTCACTAATCAGTTGTGCCATCGTAGCGATCTGGTTGTCTTCAGGTAAGAAAAAATACGACCTTATAAAGTATGTAGTTGCCCAATAGCTTCCACACATACTATTTTACTAGCCATATCCCTGGCTTCTTAGTTAATATTTACCAAATCAACCTTGACTTAGTACACTGCTGATTTGCGTTCTCGAAAAATATTGTTGAACATACACCTATACATGATATTACATCAACGTCTGCAAAATATTCAGTGAGATCTCTAAAGTCTAGTTCTGAGACTTTACTAGACTTTAGAGATCTCACTGAATATTTTACAGACGTTGATGTAATATCATGCATTAGGTGTATGTTCAACAAGTCTAGTTCTGAGCCTGACCGTTGTTGCTACCTTGACGTGGTGGTCGGGCTTGCCTATCGTGATGAAGCAACTGAGCTATACTGGCTGGAACAACCGTTCCTCAAGGTCCTACCATGCTAGACAGGTCGGTTGAAGAGCGGTAAGACTAAAAGCAACAAAACCTAGGTCCGAAGTCGTACTGCTGACTGTACAGAGGTGTGACAGCAGTAAGGTGTTTCCTTCAGACAACCAGCATAACAGCGATGCTGCCTTCCCAAAAGGAGGGGAGGGGTTGGAAAAGGTCGACCCTAAAAATGCACACCTCGCCTTATCCCACGGATATCCGTCTCCGGCGGTAAGGTCTCAACAAGTACGGAGCTAACACAAAAATTACTCATAAAAAGGTCGTATGTGACCGACCTCAAGCAGCTGTCCCTTGGGCACTGCGGTCACGCTCTCAGGTCACTATGACCAACTCTAATCCAATTTCCTTTTCAGGCACCTCCAGAAGAACCCCTCCACGGTGTGGGCAACCGGGAAGTGATAACCTCCCTCTTCAATTTTTATTATTCCTCCTACATCGACTTTCAAATCTAAACTACCTCTTTCGGCTTCCTCCTCAAGTGTCACCACAGCCAACGATTCTTGTGCGCAAAACACTGTCCCAGGTCTACTGAAACCTCGCTCCAAACTACACATTGGAGCCTTCAACGCACTCACACTATGTCAAATAGGTCAGCAAGCTTCCTTGGCTAAAACCTTAGAATCTCGTACCATTGATGTATGCTGTGTCTCCGAAACACGCATACAGGATCCTAGTGTGGTCATTCACTTGACCTCACCTCGGCGAAACGGAGTGCCGACGAGATACACCCTCCGTGTATCTGGTGACCCAATGGCTAGTTCTCGTGGACTTGCAGGTGTAGGCATAGCACTAAGCATGAGGGCGGAACAAGCGCTATTAGAGTGGATCCCCGTTAATAGTCGTCTATGCGCTGTTCGGCTAAACGGCTCCGTCAGAACTCGAAAGGATAGGGACACACGTCGTTGCCTTTTCATCGTTTCTGCCTACACTCCCACTGACTGCAGTTCGGATGAAGTGAAAGATGAATTTTACAGAAAACTCTCTGAACTTCAGAAAGCTAAACGTTCAGACATAGTACTCGTAGCAGGCGACTTTAATGCCCAGGTAGGTAGCTTAAACGAAACAGAAAGACATTTAGGTGGGTATTTTAGTATTTCGTCTAACATGGCGACCCCCTGCACCAAACCAACGATGGACTCAAATAGACCATATTGCCATCAGTCATAGTTGGAGAGGGTCAATAGGAGATTGTCGCTCATTCTGGAGTACCTGCTTGGACTCCGACCATGCCCTAGTACGAGCACGCATCTGCTTGCGCCTCACTGGACGCAAAAAAGCCACACAAAAAAGACTCATTAGAACCGAATTGAGTAATGAGAAAACCAAAAGTAGGTTCCAGGAACAACTGAGGTCACACTTAGGTAGTTCTGAAAACGAGGCTGACCCCGATGTTGATTGGAAAGACATACAAGCAGCTGTGGAAACAGCAGTGACATCTACTAGTGATTTAAACCACAGGGTTACAAAGAACCAATGGATTTCTTCAAGGTCTATTGCACTGATAGATTCTCGTAAACTCATCCCATCAGGTTCTGAACACGATGAAGAGCGTAAAGAAATCAGATCTAGGTTAAGCAAAAGTCTAAGGAACGATCGTGAGCAGTGGTGGGCAACGAAAGCAAAAGAGATGGAAAAGGCGGCGGCTATAGGGAACACAAGACAACTCTACAGACTAATAAAAGAAACTGGAATTAATAAATCAAGTGTAAGTCAGACTATTTCGGAAAAAGACGACACTCTCATCTGCTCTCAGTCCAGACGTTTAGAACGATGGGCGGAACATTTTAAGGAGCAGTTCAGTTGGCCTTCAGCTACTCTACAACTACCCTCTATTCCCAGACAGTATGAATGGAACATTGAAGTAGGTCCCCCAACTCTAGCTGAAGTTCAAAAGGCTATGGCTAATCTGAAACGAGGAAGGGCAGCTGGTCCAGACGGATTGGCCCCAGAGGTCTTTAAGGATGGTGGTCTAGTTTTAGCGATTAGGTTGACTAATATTTTAGCTAAAATCTGGGAGTTAGACGTTATCCCATCTAACTGGTCACAATCACTTATCGTCCCAATATTTAAGAAAGGGTCAAAATCATCCTGTGACAACCACAGAGGGATTAGTTTAACTAATATAATATCTAAAATACTAGCTTCGATAATTATCGGACGCCTAACTAAGACCCGTGAACTGTAAACACGTGAAAATCAGGCTGGCTTCAGACCTGGTCGTGGCTGCATCGACCACATATTCACCATTCGTCAGGTTCTAGAACACAGGCATACTTATCGGCGTCCGACAATAGTGGTCTTCCTTGATTTAAAAGCAGCGTTTGACTCTGTTGACCGAGAGGTTCTGTGGCAGTGTCTGTCATTGACAAGCGTACCTCAGAAGTACATAAACCTTGTGAAGGCTCTTTACTCGAACACTACTAGTCGAGTGAGAGCTTATGGCGAACTGTCATCTGCTTTCGCAACCTCAAGTGGCGTCCGCCAAGGCTGTCCACTTTCTCCATTTTTGTTCAACTTCATCATAGATCTACTGATGGAAATAACGCTCTCATCGACTGAATTCTCGGGTATTGATCTCCTACCAGGAGGTCCACTTATTGACTTAAAATACGCAGATGACATAGTCCTGTTTGGTGAAGACGCTGATGAAATGCAGAATCTTTTGGTAGCACTGAGCAACAATGCCAGAATGTTTGGGATGCACTTCTCTCCCTCTAAATGCAAGTTGTTGCTTCAGGACTGGTCTGCGTCAACACCTGAACTAAGGATAGGGGGTGAAGTAGTCGAACGCGTCGACAACTTCACTTATCTTGGAAGTCTGATCAGCCCTAATGGGTTGGTGTCTGACGAAATCTCAGCACGGATTCGAAAAGCTCGTTTGGCCTTTGCCAACTTACGTCATCTATGGCGTAGGCAAGATATCCGTCTATCAATTAAGGGACGAGTATACTGCGCGACAGTTCGTTCCGTTCTACTATATGGCTGCGAAACTTGGCCTTTAAGAGTAGAAGATATTCGTAAGTTACTAGTATTTGACCACAGGTGCCTTAGAAATGTTGCGGGTATCTGCTGGGATCACCGGGTAAGTAATAGTGAGGTTAGACGCAGGGTATTAGGGAATGATGGTAAATCAGTTGATGAGGTTATGAATCTTCATCGACTGAGATGGTTGGGCCACGTGCTGCGTATGCCTGAACACCGATTACCGCGACGCGCAATGGTAACAGGTGTTAGGGATGACTGGAAGAAAGTTAGGGGCGGCCAAACCAAAACGTGGCATCAGTGCTTGAAGTCACTAACTTCTGGTCTGAGCCATGTTGGTAGATGCAGACTACCTGGTTGGGGTCCGCGTGACTATCGTAACCAATGGTTGGAGACTCTTGGTGACATGGCTCAGAATCGATCATAATGG